TCCCATCCTACAAGTACCTGTGCCAGGTCCACGCCCACTGGGAGAACGGCAGCCTGCTGGGCCGCCTGACCACCAGCAAGATGATGAGTGGCCCATCAGCTGGCCCTCTCACAAGGACAGCGCCACTGAGTCCTCCTGGGAGCTCTTGTGCTCATCGAGTCAGGACAGGCTTCTAGCTTCTCATCCCCACTGCTCCCAGTCCCTGACTACAGAGGATTTCCCCAAAGCCCCAGGTTGCAAGGCTCTCCTGTCCCCTGGCCAGGAAACACAAAGCCACAAGAAGATCCAAGACCCAGTGACCTGAACCCATCTTGGGAAACGTCCTCTGTCTCCACATATTCCAGTAACCCAAGAGCACACACCAGGTGGAGCAAGTGCCACTCTTGTGTTCCAGGTGCATTCAGGTGCAGCCGTAACTCTGAGGCTTGGGCCTGAGAGCTTGGTGGGGAGGAAGCTAGAAATGTTATGAGTGACATCTAAGCTTTGGCTGAGCACCTCTGGGGCTGGGTGTCTCTCATGAGGCTGTGGCCAAGAGAGAGACTGGGTGATGGGGGCCCTGCTCCTCTCTGTGGCTGGAGGAAAGATGAGTGAAGGGATCAACTTCTCTGACAATCTAGGCTGGTAATTAGTGCTCATCTTCTGGGCTGTGTTACGCGGCCGACCATTCCTCTAGCAGCTGGGCCCCTACCTGCTGTCAGCTGCCATCAAAGCCCAAAGCCAGGCTGTGACTGCTCAGACCAGCCAGTTGGAGTGAGGGACTCAGCAGTTCTGGGTTAGGCCCTGGGAGAACAGGTGGAAAAATCAGACCGGCCATCACTGTAGCAAGACACAAATCCATTGGCCTAGATGGGATCTATCAGCTGAACCAGCCCTCTCTGAGTGATAGGTGCAGAGTAGGGGCAGAGCTGCAAGCACAGCCAAGGAAGTGGCAGAACAGAGCAGCTAGTGATGTGTGGGTGACGATCCCAGGCTTCTGTCTCCCTCAGGTGTGTGGTAATGGCAAGCATGCCCTTCCCCAACATAGGTCTCCAGAGCTATATAAGATGGCCTACTTGGATCACACCCTTGTCAGTATCCCGTGTTGCAGAGGGTACGAGAAAAGTGGGCGGTGGGTGGGAGTAGTGTCACTCCTAGCACTGACACAGCAGGGCCTTCCCTGCTGGGCATCTCCTGTCCCCTCCGGAGGTTCAGATGCCCCTCCACACCCTCTTGATCTTCCCTGCAATGTCATCTGGACCCCTACTGCTTTCATTGGCCAACAAAGCTTGCTGGTCTGGCTCCAAGGCCTGGCAGGGTCTTTTCCCATGGAGAGGGGCAGGCAGGCAACAGTCCTCAAGGGTCATACCCTTCACCCCCAGCCCAGAGCCCCAGGCCAGGCATCCCCAGGGAAGAATCTGGTGGAGAAGCTCTGAAAGAAGGCCATCGACCAGGCCACAACAAGCCTGGCTGCCTCCAGCTGGCTGGACAGATGGGGGCTGGAGAAGGGGAGAAGAGGAAACAGGGGCTGCCTGCCCTGTCTCCCACCTGAGGCTGATGAAGGGGAGGGAGATGCCATGGAAATGTGCTGTCAGGAAGGCAGCTGTAACTCAGAACTCTAGCCTCCTGTCCCATGAGGGCAGGGCCATCGGGCTCCAAAGGGATTCTGCCAGTATAGTGCTCCTAGACCAGTAATACGCCTGGCCCTGTCCTGGCCAAGCTGCCGGCCTGGATTTAAGCCTTCATGGAGGTCATAGCCACCTTTGGTTCTGCCATTGCTGCCCTGTGGAAGTTCAATCCTCCCTTTTCCTTTCCTGAGAGCCTCCACCACCCCAGGATCACATTTCTCACTGCCTTCTCTCTGCCCAGTTCCACCGGGAGAAGTCGACCTCTTCCTGACGGGCAGCTGCACCACTGCCTGGGACTGCGCCCTTCCTTTGCCCTGCCGCTGGAGACTGTCATGGGCCTGGTCTGCAGGGATCCTACTACAAAGGTGAAACCCAGGAGTGTGTGCCAGAGCGCTGCTGGGACCCAGGCACAGGCATTAGTGCCCACAGGTGGAAACAGGTGAATCCTGAAGAAACAGTGAGTCCCGGCCACTCTTGAGGTCTGCCCAAGACAGCTCCCATCTGTGCAATCGAATGTCTTCCATCCCGCATGGCCAAGGGCCAAGCTTCTCACTGGGCCTCTGCAGGAGGCTATGGGGGCTGCAGCCTCTACTGTGGCATTTCTGTCCTGACCACCTTAGAGAAGAGATGGAGCAGGCCCATCTGCTTCTGCCCTTTTTATAATAGCTGAAGCTAGCTGCCCTGACTACTCACCATCTGGTCTCAATTTAAAAAGATCCCCAAGGCCATACGGCTCCTGCCTGGGGGCTTGTCACTTCCCCCACCTTTCTTCCTGAGTCACTCCTTCTGCAGCCCTGCCCCTAACCCGCTCCACAGCCCTCCCCAGATTTCTATCTCCCTGGCTTGGTGCCAGTTTCTGCAAGTCGATGGCACATCCCTCCCTTTCAACCACTTGAGCAAACTCCAAGACACCTTCCCCGACACAAGCAATGATGCCAAGGGCCATTTGGCTCTCAGCATGACTATTTTTAGAGACCCCATGTCTGTCACTGAAAACTTTTTTCTGTGGGACACTACCCCTCCCCCCTGCAACAGCTGCCCCTGCTGACTGTACCTCTCCTCCTCTGACCCAAGGGAAAGGGGTCATGGTCAGCTGGGATCTTCTGCCCCCACTGCCTAGCGACCAACAGGGGCAAGGGGAAAGTCACTGACTCCGAGACATTTACCTCCTGCACAGCTAGAGGTCTTTTATTAAAAGTGCACTGTTGGTTTCTGCTCAGTTCTTTTTTGATTTGTGCTTCGGTTTTCTCTAGAAGCCTCTTTAGGGAAGAGAAGAGCACACTGGTGCAGGCTGGGTGGAGCTGTCCCCCGGTGGAACACAGGCATACAGAAGCCCCCGCCCTAGCCCTGTGGCCTCAGGCCAGCCTCTCACTCCCTAAAGGTGGTCCCTGCACAGTCCCGGGACAGTTCCTTCACCGCCCCCTCCTAGGGCAACGGGTCTGAGGAGCTTGTCCTGGCTGTGTCCATGTCGGAGCAGTGGCCCAAGTCTAGGATTCCCAGTCGTCCTCATCCTCCTCTGCCTGTGGCTCATGTGGTGGCGGCAGAGGAGGGACGGAGTCTGACACGTGGGCAAAGGCTCCTCCAGGTCCCTCACCAGCCCCAGGTCCTTTCCCAGAGATGCCTGGAAGGAAAAGGCTGAGTGAGGGTGGTGGGTGGGAAACACTGGTTCCCCCAGAGACTTAAAACACAGGAAGAAAAAGGCAGGAGAGAATTACAATGTGCCGGCCCAGGGCGGACAGTGGCCCTGCTTCCTATTCCTACCCTTGCACCTCATTATCAGCTTGTTGAAGAGATCCGACATCAGGTCCCCACCTTGGTTCGTGGCTCTCACTGCAATGGGAAAGCCACAGAGTAAAGGGTTCAGTCACATGAAACCCCAGCTCCCTGTCCCCACCCCGACGACACTCCTCAGTCTTCCAAGGCCACTGTGTTTTCCAGTTAGCTCAGAGCTTCAGTCTATCCCTGACCCGACACTGGGCACTGATGAGAATGCACTTACATTTAAGGAACACTCTTCGAGCCACCCTCAGGGACAGGGCCAGGGTAGGCAGCACCGTTGCACAGGTGGGGAAACTGGCCCAGAGAGGTGAGGCATCTTGCCTGGGGTCACTGAACAAGGCACAAGCAGCGCTGGGCACAAGCTCAGAATCATAGTGCCCAGGGCACTGCTGCAGTATGCGCAGGCATCACATCACACTGGTGTCTGTGGTCACAGCAGGCACTATGGGCAGTCTCAGGAGGCCTCAGGTCCAGTCTCTAAAAATCTCTCAGGAGGCTGTGGTGGCTGACCATTGCCTTGGTCCAGTCTCAGCAGTTGAGGAAGATTCTCCTTGCTACAATTGGAGCTGGGTGAGCTTAGAGAGGAAAGCTCCACTAAGGCTCCCAAACCAAGAAGGAGCCATGGCCCAGGTAGGAGGGCTGAGGACCTTGGGTGACGGCCCAGGGCTTCCAGCACATGCCCTAGGGGAACCAGGGACAGGCTGGCAGGAGCAGGGGGTGGGCAGAAAGCACCCTGTGGACTCAGTGCCAGACAAGAGGCAGCGCTTTGTCCGAGGCCCTCCAACCACAGGCTCCAGGGCCCGCTCACCTTGCTCCTGCTCCTGCTGCTGCTTCTCCAGCTTTTGCTCCCTCACGCTGTGCAGCTTGGCCTTGCCGATGCCCCCACCGCTTGGTGGATGGACTGTAGCAGAGTGGTCTGGCCCTCAGAAGGGTCAACCACTTCCCTGAGAGCTCCCTCAACTGGAGGTGGGAGGTGGGGAACAGGATAAGGAGGAAAGGCTGCTCAGGCAGGGCTGGGGAAGCTTATCATGTCCAAGACCCTGCTAGGAGGGAGGGCACCTCCCCTCAAACAAGGAGGTTTGTGTTGGGGATGCTGAGCCTTTGAAGACTCTGTGGGGCCTGGGCACACAGGACCTGAGCACTGACTTCTGCAACACCAGAGTGCAGGCGATGTGGGTGCAGACACTCCCTGACCCCCTCCAGCCCCCACCCTGCACAGCTGGACCCTCAAGCTAGGCATGCACTGACAGTCTCAGCTGCACACATAAGCCAGTAGAGGGGTTTTGTGCCATTTCCGGATCCTAGAGACAGATGGGAGACACAATAGTAAAGCTGAAATGCTGTAATTTCAGGGACACTGAATCATTTGATGCTGTAGTTTGTTATTAGACCTTCTTTCCATAGTTTATTAGGCCTCTTCTTTCCATTGGTTTAACTCGGAATGGGGAGCCCGGAGCTTCACTTGTTCAGGCCCCCTCTGCCCAAGAGGTGAGAATTCCAGAGCTCCACAGTTTGAAAACCACTATTTTATGAACCAAATAGAACAAGACATTTGAAAAAGGAACTATTAAGAAAATCAAGTATTTCTGGCCACTTAAACCCACAGACAATCCACCTGAGTGCACCGAGCACACCAGAAATGAGCAGAGGTGTCCTCAAAGAGCTGGTCCCACCTGAAGGAGACACATGGCTGCTGCCGCCGTCCTGCCTGGTGCCTGGGCCTACAGGGGCCAGGGCTGAGGGAGTGGGGGGTGCACTGGCCAGCACCTCAGGAGCTGGGGGAGGTGATGGGGGTGCTGTGAACACCCCATCTTCTAGGTCTGAAAGAGAAAGTGTGGGGTGTCTAGGGAAGAAGGTGTCTGAGCAGGGAGGTCCTTGGCTCAGCTCCCATCCCAGCGCCCAGGTCATCTGGATTGAGAGGCTCGGCTACCTCAGTGTGGAAGGTGGACAGTTCTGGAATGGTGCCAGGGGCAGAGGGGGCAATGCTGGGGCCCAGGTCAGCACTGTACATGAGGTCGTTGGCAATGCCGGGCAGGTCGGACAGGTAGGATAGCACACCAATCTCAGGTATTGGCCCAGGTCTGGCACCTAGTAGTTCTCTGGAACCTGGAGGATTAGGTAGGGACATGTGAGAGGTGACAGGGCCCTGCAGGGGCATCCTGCAAGGCCTTGTGTGTACACCCCATGGGTGGAATAAAGAGCTCAACAGCCTTGCCTGGAGAGGAGCCCTGGCAGAGCCCCCAGCCACTGCATCTGTCCCCACCCCAGCCCTGTTCCTCCCACCTGCTGCTCCAGCTGCTCTCTCTTGCTGATGGAGAAGGGGGCATCAAACAGCTTCTCCTCCGTCTCCACCCCCAGCATCACATGGGTCTTTGTTACAGCACCAGCCAGGGAGTCCAGGAAGACATACTTCTTGTACCTACAGGGGCGATGTGGGCATCAGGCAAGCTGACAACTGCTGTCCTGAGCCCATATTCCTACCTCTCCCACACCATCAGGGGCACAGTGTGCATGGTGGGGTCCCAGGTCTCCCAAGCCAAGCCACCCCAACTACCCCATGGCTCCCAGCCTTGGTGCTATACCTGTGTCTAATGCCCTCGGTCCCCACTAAGCCAGGCCGGGCCTCCCGCCCACACCCCTTGGTCCTGCCTTCTGGCCATGCAAGATCTTGGTGGTGTTGAAGAGCAACAAGGAGCTGACACAACTGATGTTTCTGGGAAGACCCCAAGCCTCTCTTCTGCGTCATCCTCGGGCTCCAGCTTGGCACTCATGCACACAGGAAAGTACTTCAGCTTCTCCTGGGAGGGCCAGAGGAGCCAAGGGATAATGAGTATTTAGGGCTGGGCCAAATCAGCTGCCACCTTTTCCCAGTCAGCCTCCTCTGCGGGACAGAACCCTATGGCAGCCCTAGCTCGTCCCCAGCATCCAGGCTTCCAGGTGTGTGACAGGCCGTGTGATGTGCATGGCCAGCAGACCTGCAGGGCCTGCCATGCTTGCTCTGGATCCTGTGGCAGGGTCGTCTCTGCAAGCCAGGGTCCTGGACACCTGTGAAGATGGAGCCATATTCCTTCAGGTGCTCTGAACAGGGTACTTGGCACTGGAGAACACCTGTGGACACAGGGACAAGTCTGAGGGGCCCCAAGAAGCTCAGGTGGCTAGCCTTGCTTAGCAAGAGAGGGTAGAGTTGGGAGCCTGGGTGGGAGGAAAGTCCAAGGTACGGGTGGGCAGCAGGGCAGAGACTGGGCAGCCTCAGAGGCATGGAGTAATGAGGGACAGCCAAGTAGTCTCAGGACACAGGGGTATGGGGGCTACCTTGATGGCCTTCTTACTGCCCTTGATCTTCTCAATCTTGGCCTGGGCCAAGGAGACCTTCTCCTCGATGGCCTGCACCTGGCTCTGGCTCTGCTCTACCCACTGGGAGATCCTGCCATGGAGAAGATCACAGAAGCTGGGACTGCTCCCTACCCCCTGCACACCTCCTGCTCCTAACAGCAGACCTGCTAGACCAGCCCTCAGGTAAAGTCTCTTAAGTCACGGTCACCTGCTTGCCAGGGTCGAACTTGGTGCCATCCAGGCGGCCTCTAGAAGGACAATCTGAGCTGCAGAATCAAGGAGTTGACAGTACTGAGTTCCCTGCACTCTCGGTAGCGACAGGCAGCCACCTGGCCCTATGCTGGCACCTGCACGTGCTACCTGAAGGACAGTCTCCAGGGCACACAGAGGATGGTTTTTACACATGCACACATGGCTGTTGATGGGGTGAGGCAGTTCACAACCCCTCACGATCACGTGCAGTAGACAAAGTGACCTCTGCAGAGGGGGAATCGAGACCAGAGGCTAAGAATGGTAAGGCTGGAACTGAGTGTTGTCACCTAAATTCAGAGGAAGAACTGCCCCTGCACATAGTGAACAGCTCACTGAGCAAGCCCTGCATCCCGACCATGGCCCACAGGCTCTGTATAGTCTAGCTCCTCACCTGTTTCCATCTCCCCTGGTGCGGGCTGGGCCCAGTGGCACAAGCTGCCCTGCTGTTCCCCAGATGTGACAAGTGCATTCTTGTGCACTTGCATCTCAGGGAATGCCATTTCTCCAGACAACCCTGTGGCTGGCTCCTGGTGTGCAAGGCCCAGGTGCCTGATGCTTTAAGGCACCTATTACCACTCATGCTTTTCCACATTGTTTGGCCACAGCAAGACCAGTCTTACTGCAAAATTAATTCTGATGCACGTGTGACACACCATCCTCCTCCCAGTCACCTCTGTAGCTCCCCTACCCCCAAGAACCCAGCCCTTGCCCACAAGGGCCACACTCCACATTCAGAGAAGCCTTGGCATTCACCTGGCATGAGCGACCCTGTGTGAGGCACAGGGATGAGAAGGCAGAGGCACAGCTGGGTTCATGAGGAAAGGGAGGGGGAGGACGTGGGGTGGCGAAAGGGCTGCAGACTCGGGTGAGGGAACGCCGGGATTCCTCTAAAGGTTGGAAAGAATGACCTGCAATCAGACCCAACAAGCCGAAGCCACTCCCACCAACTTTAGAAGGCCTTGGCACCAGAGAGCCAATTTCACAATCCAGGGGTCCCCATCCCCTAATGAGTCTGCCCTGATTACTCCAGGGGGCTCAGGCATGGCAGGGCTGAGAGTACCAACAGGCACCCAAGCAGCTTAAGTGTTCCATGACAGACCAATATGAAGGTGGCCACCATTCAGAAAGAAAAGAGAAGAGCATCGTCTCCTCCCAGTGAGGTAGCAGGGCCACCACCCAGCTCCATTTTTTCTGGCTGGGGAGAAGGCTTCATCTGCTGTGAGGGGTCCTCCAGCACAAGCTGTTTTAATTCACCCCAGTTCACAAGGCAGCCTTATTCTGTCCCTGGGTACTGACACAATCTTCAGTAGTTGCATAAGCTCTGTACTCGAGGTCTGCAGGGGCAGTGGGAGGAAACTAGGACTGGGAAGGGCCAAAGGCTCCTCTGTTCTGGTGCTGCCATACAGGAGAGAAGGGGTGATCACTCAAAGCTGCAAACACCAAGCTCAACAACGAGTCCTGGCAAGTTTCTGGAATGGATTATTAAACAGAGAGTCCGTAAGCACTTAGAAAAGAGGCAGAGGTGAGTCCCAGGGACCAGCATTGCTCAAAACACACACCATTTCTCTTTGTAACAGCGTTATTAGCCTGCTGTGCCCGGGGAAAACTTGCAGCACAGTGCATCTTGAGTCAGCACAGATTTTGACGGCTTCTAACAAAATCTTGTGGACAAGATGGAGCTATGGGGGTTGGAGGAGAGAACATACCAGAAAAATCAGAGCCAAATGAACCACAGCCCCAAAGGGCACTGGTGAGCAATAGTCTGATTCCAGCCTTGCATGGAGAAATCTGGCAGGACCCTTCCAGTTCATTCAACACCTGGATAGAAAACTGGGGCTAGCACAGAGGGATAAAATGGTCTGCATGATAGAGTCAAGGCTCAGATAATTTTTAAAGGCCAGAGGGTAGACTGCAATCACCAGGATGACATTTATAAGGAACAAATGTGAAGCCCAACATTTAGGATTTAAAAATCAAGTCCACAAATATAGAAGGTGGAAGGAACTTGGTTTAGACACAGTTCAGGTGAAGAAAGACCTGGAAGCTTCTGTTAACTATAAGCTCAGTAGAAGCTAAAAGCATGTTAATCAGCATAAAAAGCCAATGAGCTCTTAGGGCACACAGCTCCCTGTCCCTCTTCTGTCCTTCATCCTTCTTCCACTCAGTAGGGACCACGCACTCTCTTGGAGGCACCACAGAAAACAAGGCCCTGGACTCATGAATGAGTCTATGCCAGGCACCAGTCTCAGCCACAGTCACATCCCTTTAAACTGGATCACAGTTAGAGGACTCTGACCTCCCGTACAGACTGCCCTCTGTCTCATTCACTGCTATGTCTCTAGCACCTGGGATGGGGCCTGATGCATAACAGCCGCTGGCTGAAGAGAAAGTGACAAATGAGCAAACATCTCAAGGAGGGTGATGAGGATGGTGATGAGTGAGAAACTGCCGACATATGAAGATAACTGAAGGATGTTCTGACTGAAGATCAGATGACCTTGAGAGTATGATCATTCCCTTCAAATATCAAAAATATTAAAAGGGCTGTCGGGTGAAGTGAGTAAACTTCTATCAGGAATAGTGAGCAGAGTTTCAAGGAAACAGAGCTCTGCGCTGTTTAAAAAAATAAACAACTGCATCACTTTGCAGAGCAATTAGGCTCCACCTCACAAGCACCATCCAGGTGCTCCAAGGGTGAATCCTCCCTGAGGTGGAGGCAGAAGACATGATCCTGGGGCTCTTTCCTTAACCAGGAGCCTATGGGACTAAGGAATGGCATGCTTGCTGACAAAGCTTCCAGACTGTCTATTATCTCATGGTTAGAGGCCATGGTGCCAAGGACAAGTGCAGATTCTGCGTCAGAAAGCTTGCAGCATGTCTGCTATCTCTCTGTGGACTGGCAGGATCGTCTGGGAAGGCCTATAGGCCTCACTGGGGCCAGGGCATTGATGAACAATGCCCACCGTGAGGGTGGGGGAATGGTGCCATGAGAGCCATTTGTTTGCCATTCCTGGTATAGACACCCTTGGCTTGGTGGCCTACTTCAAGGTAGATCAGTTTACAAGCTTAGTGCTGAAGCCATCCCCTCTGGCACACTCACCCAGCACGAGAGAGGAAGCTGCTCTGTGGGCATCAGGGACAGAACTAGCTCACCCAGCCTGCTCTGCACGTGGTCTCACTAAGGGTCTGTCTTCCTCTATCTCCCCTGGAGAGGACCATATCCAAGCATCCCTCGATTCCTGTTTCCCGACTCCACCCCTTACTGTTCAGTATCTTGAGTGCATTCCATTTGTAAAGCACAGTACTGGGGGCCATGGGAGTCAAAGATGAATCAGACAACACACATCCACTCCCAAAGAGACTCAGGCCTCCCAGGTAAGTAAGAGATGAGCACCAATAACCACAGCAACCCACGGGCCTGGGTTTCATGTCTATTTAGCAGCAGAATGACCCTGGGGAGGCCACTCACTGGTCTTTGCTTCAGCTTCTTCCACTGAAAAATAGGAATGGTCCCTTCTGCATCATGTGATTCCTGTGAAGGTGACAAGGAACTGATGATCGCCCATCACCATCAGCACACTAGTCCCTAGAGGCTGTGGGGAGGAGGAAGCAGGAAGTACCCACTCCCAATTCACTGCTTCTCCTCCCCTGCCTGTCATGACCCCAGGGAAGCAGACCCTGAACCTGTGCTCTTGCCTTTACCTTCATCTTCTCCACTCCGGGATAATTAACAATGACTTGCTAATTATGCCATGATCTAGCGCAATGTGTAACCTTGGGGGCCACCAGGTGCTGATCAGTAGAAAGAACAGGGGAGAAGGATGAAGTCAGGTCAACGGGAAAGGGGAAATGAGGAAGAGGAGAAGAAAAGAGGTGGGGAAAAGGAAAAAGAAAGAGATGGAGGAAAGGACCAAGAGCTTTGCAGAGAAAATCACCCTTCCCAGGGGGAAGGTGCTGGGCAGTAGCACGGCCTCTTGGGTGAAGAGGTTGGGCAGGGACTGATTGACAATGGCAAAAGACAGCATCCAAACTTCCACACACACAGTCTGTTCCTTCCTCTTCCCTGTGCCATCCCAACTCCCTCCTGCCTTGTCATCTATGTCATGGGAAGCAGGTGACATATCTGGCCCAATGTTTTTGGGGCCTGGCTTCTCCCAGGTGAAGAGGAGACAGATGGAGAGGCAGAAAGAGGGAGCAGGAAGGGGCACGGCTAAAGACAGCCTGGGAGGTGCTTGTCATTCCCTTCAGTCTCTGCACACTCCCAGCTGCTGCAGAGCAGGAGGAGAGAGCACAGCCTGGAATGCTAATTTGCCAGGCATTCACCTGTCTGCACCACTGGGCACAGGCACCAGTGAGGCCAGGGACTGGGCTGTGATGGAGCCTAAGATGGGGTGGGAGGGAAAGAGAGGGCTCTCTTCTGCCCACCTGTTTCATCTGTGCAGAAGGTTTATAAGCAGGAGGAGCATGTGTAAGGGGAGAGATTCAAAGCTGGTCACATCCTCACCAAGAAAGCCCATGAAAAATAAAAAGTCCACGTTTGTCCAGTGCCACAGAAAAAGGGCAGGTGGAGGAGGAGAGGTGTCGGTGCTCCCCACTCCACTCCCACTCATCACTGACTCCTCCCTTTCCTTCATCATTGTTCCCTATCTGTCACCATTTCCTGTCATCAGTTTCCTCTGAACGTCTCACCCGGCCCTCCCTGTTTGCAGGTCCCCTGTCTTCAGTCTCATCCCTGCCACATCCTAACTACAGCAACAGCTTCTGGGTGTCCCTGGCATCCACTCTCTCTTCATGTCCCTTCTGTGACAGGTGCCTGACGAACCTTCCTCAACTCTTCTGTCTCACCCCTGCCCTGCCTGAAACCCAATCACTGCTCCCTAACACTCCTAAATCAACCCAAGTCCTCTCCTGAGTACTCCATGGACCCTAACTCATTCATCCCAACTTTTCACTTATTACTTTACCGCACACACTGCCAGGGAGCCTTCCATGGCCCCATGGGGACATGGAGGAACCAAGGCAAAGCTCCTTGGCACCATTCAGAGGCCTGGCCCACAGGCTTGTGGGAATGCCCTGTGAGCTGAATGCCAGGGAGAGGCAGCACTGACTGCTCCCCATGCAGAACCACTACCCTCCTCCAGCCCCTGTGCAGGCTGGCCTTCCCAGCAGACCATCATACACCACGTTCCAAGCCACACTGAGGCTTCTCTCCAAGCCTGTGGCCCCCATTTCTAGACCCCATCAGGGAGGCCTGCACGCCCACCTCCCTACCCTGCCCTCCTCCTCCAGGAGCCTGTCCTAGGTGGAGTAGGCACGTGGCTTTCCTCTCCAGCACATATTTTCCCTTTACTCAAGCAATGGCCCCGTGTGCTTTGGGGAATCCATCTCTCCTGCAGGCTTACATCCTGAGCTTCAGATGGGTGGTCTGAAGAGCTCCTTGGTCTAAGCCAAGTGGCATGTCATAGTCCCCTGGCCCCAGCAATGGATTCTGGGACAGACACAAGGACCAATCCAGGCGAGTGTGGCCTCTAGGGCAAGTGGGGGACATAAGAGAGCATTCTTTCCTGTTGAAACTGACCCTTCCATGTCACCTTGCCACCACAAGAGCATGGCCTGAGAATGCAGCCAGACCCAAAGAAGCAAACTGACAAGGAAGGAAAGCAAAGCCAGGCCCTGATGATGTCATTTTGGCCCTAACTCCAAAGGCCACTCTACTGATTGGTTACCTTTTGCTTAGCTTAGTTTGGGGAGTTCTGACAGGTGTGCCACCAATTCTTACCGATTTCTCCCCCTTCTAGACACTGAGAAGCCCACATGGTCCATGCTACACAATTAACAATTAATCTCGCCCTACATGTTCCCATTCCAGCCCCTAAGCTCTTTGAGGACACAGTGTCAGCCACATAATTAGTGTCTCTTAAAGATCCAGCATGAATGTAGAGCACATGGTGGAGAGATCGATGCAGTGACCTGGAACCTCGCATGAGGGAGCCAGGACTCAGGCCCAGTGCTCCTGAGAAGCATCTTCCCCTTCCTGTGCTGCACCAGCAACTTGAGGATCCCACACTCAATGAACACAGCACTCCACTCCCCAGAAGATGCCTTCCTGCCCTCTCCTCATCCCATCACTGGGCAGGGGACATGTAACTGTCTACAAGATGCCAAGTACCAGGACAGGAAAGGAAAGACACCAAAAATCCAAGGCTTCCCTCAGAGAAGGGCAACCATGCAATCCCCATCTTGGTGAGGAAACTCAGTTTCTGAGGGAATGGTTTTGGCCTCCATTCTAAGCACTGAACATGGGGTAGCCATAATCTGGAGCTGATGGCTCTTAAAGACCTGCATCCTCTTGCCTAGGCATCCCTTGGGCATATTTATCACAACGATAAGCACAAAAGGTACATCCAAAAATTTCAGTAACTGCTGATGACAAGTTCATGAATGGCGACTGAGTCCAGTGAATGGGTCAAGATTATCAACAGGGAAGAGCTCACATTTATTTCCTGAATTCCTCCTAGGTGCCAGGCACTGTTCCATTTCTTTCCATGTTTTCATTCACTTAGTCTTTAAAATAATTCTACCAGGAAGCTACCATTATTACCACAACTTCACAGATGAGAACATTAAGGCTTAGAGGGGTTGAGTTGCCCAAGGTTACAGAGGAAGCAAACAGGAAAGCTGGATCTGAGCCAAGGCATTAGCTCCAAGACGATCCCCTCAGCCACTTCAGCGCATGACCCCTTGGTTACAAGGACATTCTTGACAAGCTGGGGGCAAGTTGGGGTGAGTCAGAGGGGTGAGGTCATTCAGGAAGAGGTAGGCTTCTAGTTGGTGACAGGAAGTGGAGGCTGCACAGTGAAGGATCAGGGGATCCAGGTCTGGCAACAACCAGGGAAGGGCAAGGCAGGGGTGACTTGGACCATGAGAGGGACCTGAGTCAGGCGGTCGCATACTTCCTGCTGGGGTCCAACATGTGAGACACTGTATGGGATCCCAGGAAGGAGACCAAGCCTCATTTCAGGTAGCTCATGGCCAAAGACAGGACCTGTGCATCCAACAACTGCTGGGACCTTTGCCAGGAAACGGCAAACACCACTCACTCACTCATATTAGATAAACACTGAGTCAAAAGTCACCAGAGCCCAAGGACTGTGCGAGGTCAGCACTGCTGATACCTCAGCCCTCCAACTTGGCTCCCGCAATGGCCGTTTCATGCTTCAACCATGCTGGCTTTCTTTTGGGTCCTCTACCTCTGGCTGCAGTTCATGTGCTTCCTTCTTTCTGGAATTTTCTTCCTGACCTACCCAACTGAACCCTCACACTTTACCACAAATGTCATTTCCTCACATCCCCCTTCCCTGACCCGAGATCAAGCCAGGTCTACCTGACCCAAGACCAAGCCAGGACAAGCCTCGCAGCACCCTATCTCCCCTCCACAGAGGCTGTAATAACCCACAGCACCTGGGGCCATGATCTGTGGCTTTGAACCCTGGCTCTGTCACTTGCCCAGGTCTCTCAGCCTTTCTGTGCCTCAGTTTCCTCATCTATAAAATGGAGATGACAGCAGTGACTGCTCATAAAGTGTGGCAAGGACTAAATGAGTTAATGCACTCAAATCAATGGTGGTGCATGGTTAATGCCATATAAATAACAGTGATTACCAAATATTATCAACAGGCCTTGTCACAACTGTTACTAAGGAACTAATCATGCATTGGTTATCAGGTCTTTCTCTCCTGCCAGCATGTGCACTGCAGTTGGAGAGGGATGCTGCCTTATCCATGGCTGGATCTATAGAGATTCTTACAATGCCTTGCACACAAACACTATTGGGTACGTATTTGCTGGCTACAGGAAAAAGTGAAGAAATATACCCCCCAAATGGGAGAAAGAGAATGAGTTAGGAGAGCAGAGCCACCATAGGAAACCAGGAGGCTAAGTGGGGTGGAAGCGAGTGAGCTCTCAGACTCTCAGGAGCAAAACCTTCCAAGCTGGGCTCTTACCTCAGCCCCTCCCACACAAGGAAGCTGGATGGGTCCCTCAGGACCAGGATTTCCCCTAAGGGGCTGCTCCCAGAGGGTATGTTGCTGGGACTGCCCAGGATGGGGATGGTCCTCTGATCAGGAGGAGGTGAGTGGCAGCACACACCTGCTGAAGATGTCTCCAGAGACCTTCTGCAGGTACTGCAGGGCATCCACCATCTGCTGGATGGCCTCCTCTCGCCGCAGGTCTGGCTGGATGAGGGGCACGGCATACGTCTGATTTACCAGGGAGTGCTGGGTCTTCACAGGAGTCATGGTGCCCGTGGGTGGGAGCTGGAGCATCAGAGCTGCCTACACTCACCTGCACCCACTCACTCTAATCCAGCCATGAGTACAAGGCTAAGGAGTGACAAGAGTACATACACAATTCTCCTCAAAAAGGAAGGCGAGACAACACAGCCCTCATCCCAACTATGCACATAGCTTCAGCCTGAACAAATAGGGGAGAAGGGGACAGAGCATTTGGTGGGAGGCCAGGAGCACACAGATGGGAGCCTGCTGATGCCCGCTCAGTGAATGAGGGAGGGGGAGGGCAGGACCAGGGACTGGGGAATTGGTAGGGCCAACAAAGGAGTTAAGAGAAGGGGCAACATTTCTGACCCTTTACAAGGTGCTTGGTAGCTGCCAGGCACCCATTCCATACACTGTCTCAGTTCAGCTCCCGACCTCGGATAAACAAGAAAGAAACCTTAGTTGCAGAGAAAAAAAGAGGCTGAAAACCAAGGGATGGAAATGGGATAGTTCGGGAGATTGCCTGATCAACTGCCAAATGGTACCCAGTTCTGGAAAAGCACAAAAACGTGCACACATGGGTTCTTCCCACTTTAACCCCTGAGAATTTGACGTCTGGTCCTGAAATAGATGGGGCAGTGGCTAGTGACTCTAGGTATAGGGGTGTCCAGCCCTGCTCACCTAGATAAGAGCTTAGGGGGCCTTAGAGGAAGGAGGTGCATGTGGGGGTGGAGGACAGGAAGGAAAAGCACTCCTGGAATTGCAAAGTGAGGGCAGAGTCTATCTATATTGGGTTTAATTAACTCTCTCCCTGGTGCCACTAAAGCAGCAATCACACTGCAGATGGCACTGATTTCATTGGCAAGAGATGCACCAGGCAGAATATTAAGGGACCAGGCCCCTATAAATAGGCTTAATCACAGCCCCTCACTGGAAAACGGTAAGGAAGACATTAATCAGCCCTGGCACTGTACCCTAGACCTGCTCTCCCAAGCACTACAGCAGGGCCTTGGTTGCAACACAAGTGGGTTGGGCTGGTGAGTGTGGCATGAAGGGTCCAGGTTTCACTTGAGTTTAAAAGGCTGTGACACTGGGTAAGTTGCCTTCTCTGAATCTGATCCTTTCTATTTCCCATTCTCCAGACTGAGAACCAGCACTGCTGAGATGTGGTTATTCCCAATAATAATTTGTATATTTTACATAATGCACTGCATGAACATCTTCACCCAGCTGAAGCCTACTCCTTTGCTCCGCCTGCTGGCTTACCCAGCCCTTCCTTCTACCCTCCTCAGGCCAGCACTTTTCATGATATGAGGCAATCATCCTGCTTTTCAGCCTTTTCTCCAGCAGTGAGCTCCTCCTTTGCATTAGGCTTTCCAGATCTGTACTTGGCTTGAATACTCATCAGGGCCCAGGAGTTACTCCTCACCTCCCACTTCTTTCTCCTCCAATCATATAACAAAAGCATGGCCAGCTGATGCCCAGCCATCTGAGAAGCCTAACCCTCCTGAGACCCATCACAGCCCTTGCAAGAACGTTCCTCCCTCCCCTTCTTTGTATTTACACTGATGCAAGTTTGCTGGCCATCCTAACTTATTTCTGTACCTCAGTTCTCCCATATGTAAGATCACAAAGAGGGTAAAGGTGCAAGATATTTCCTGTGCACATCTTAAGATGAATTCCCTGTTAGTCTGTGTAAGATGAATTCCTTGTTAAGTGTGTAAGATGAATTCCTTGTTTGTGTGTATGCTGTTTGCTCACACACACATAGACTACGTACACAATTATCCTCAAAAAGGAAGCAGCAAGCCTGTTCAAGAATGGGACTGAAGTCTGGGCATGGTGGCTCATGTCTACAATCCCAGCACTTTGGGAGGCCTAGGTGGATGATCACCTGATGTCAGGAGCTCGAGACCATCCTGACCAACATGATGAAACCCTGTCCCTACTAAAAATACAAAAATTAGCTGGGCATGGTGGTGCACGTCTGTAGTCCCAGCTACTTGGGAGGCTGAGGCAGGAGAATCACTTGAACTCGGGAGGCAGGCAGAGGTTGCAGTGAGCCAAGATTGTGTTCACTGCACTCCAGCCTGGCAACAAAGCAAGACTCTGTCAGAGAGAAAGAAAGAAAAGAAAGAAAGAGAGAAAGAAAGAAAAGAAAAGAAAAGAAGGAAGGAAGGAAGGAAGGAAGGAAGGAAGGAAGGAAGGAAGGAAGGAAGGAACTGAATACACCTGATAAGTGGTTTACTTTCTGTCTGCAAACATCTACTGATTATTTATTAGGTACAGCCCATGATTACAACAAGGATGAATAAGACATTACACTAGCCAGGAAGATAGTATCAAAAACAATTAAACTCAAATTAAATTCACTCTAATCCAGCCATGAGTACAAGGCTAAGGAGTGACAAATCCCTTTTTGGGGTTAGGGGAGTCAGGATAAAGCTCTTAGCAGGATGTGTGCCTCTCAGCTGGGTGCAGTGGCTCACACCAGTAATCCCAGCTCTTTGGTAGGCTGAGTTGGGCAGATCAGCTCAGTTTGGGAGTTTGAGACCAGCCTGATCAATATGGAGAAACCCCATCTCTACTAAAAATACAAAATTAGCCAGGCATGGTGGCACATGCCTGTAATCCCAACTACTCGGGAGGTTGAGGCAGGAGAATCACTTCAACCCAGGAGGCAGAGGTTGCAGTGGGTCAAGATTGGGCCATTTCACTCCAGCCTGGGCAACAAGAGTGAAACTCCATCTCAAAAAAAAAAAAAAAAAAAAAAAAAGAATGTGTGTCTACCAGGTACAGGAAAGAAGCTGCAAAGTCAGCATTCCAGGTGAAAGAAACAGCTTGAACAAAAGTGTGTAGGGAAACAGCAAGTGGTCTTGAGTGCTGAGAGTGCAATCACCCTTGGGGAAGTACTAGAAGAATGATAAACAGAGGCCAGTTTGTTTAAAAAAAACTCTCAAAGTTAGGGTTAGGAGTTCATACCTGTGCCAGGAATGAAATCCTTAGACCTGTGTTGTCCAGTATGGTAGCCACCAGCCACATGCAGCCACTGGGCACTTAAAATGTGGGCCGACTGAACTGACATGTGCCATAAGTGTAAAATATGCACCAAATTTCAAATACTAGGAAAAAAAGAATATGAAATATCATATTAAAATATTTTATGTTGATTGCATGCTAAAATAACCATATTTGGGATATACTGGATTAAAAAATGTATTACTAATTTCATCTTTTTCTCTTAGAAATCACTTATGTGACTTAACCATTTCTTTTCTTTTTTTTCCTCTCACTCAGTGTCCTGTGATTCCAAAGAAATGAGTCTCTGTTCTTTTCGGGCAGGAGATATCCTAGAATGAACTCTGACCTAAGTATCAAAATTAATCATCTAACATTATCATTTTATGGCCCCTTCTTCCTATATCTGGTAGCTTTTAGATGATCATGAAGATAGCCTTATTGTCATTCTTTCGGCAGATGGCATCTTCTTATGCTACACAATATGGCTGCTAATAATACCTACATATATCAGAACCATTGTGACTCCTCAAGATGATACTTTGCCTTTATGTAAAGCTAATTATATCTGGTTTTGATACTGAGGGAAGAACAAGGGAATCTAACACTAACCAGCCCTCCTGTGTGGTAAGCACTTTCGTTACTTTAGTATACATTGCCCAAATTGTTTGTCTTCACCACACACTTTAGAGGTAGGAAGTGCTATTTTTACAAATGAGAAAGCCCAGGCACAAAGGGGTTAATTGGCAACCATCTTTTGAAAAGCCTGTGGTGCTCATCAGAAAAGGTGACAAATCACCTCTTACTTAGTGGTCAGACAATAAATACTTGAGAAGACAGGGAATTTTGTTTGGGGAAAAGTTGAAAATTTATCAAAAGTCGTCTTCTCTAAGCGAGTTTTATACTGAGACATCCTAGCTCCTCAGTTCCACAGTGGGTAACTGCAATTCATTCTAGGTCCATGATATTTCCTGTCTATCCATTTTGTTACTCTTCAATCGACCCCACAAATGCATAAATATTATTTAATAATAGTGCTTTTCTTGCATCTGTGTCATGTTCATCAAGTTATGTTGCACATGTGTGTCACACAGTATTTCTAGTAGGCAGCACTGCTTTAGACAATGTGGTGTAAACTGTGCACTCCCGGGAAAATGCACTCACTGCATGCCTCTCTCAGAGCCCTCCATGCAGACCGTTCTCTCACACCCCACTCCCCGAGTTACAGGCCTCGCTGTAAGCCCCAGAAACCCAAAGCAGTGTCAGAAAAGGGGTCCCCTACTAGGGCCCAGGTGCTCCCAGTGGGCAGCAGCTGCGAAACAGCCCTGCAAGGCTTCCCAGAACCTGGCCTGGGAAGGAAGGTGCGGAACGGGGGAGGCAGAACTGGGATGCCGCAGAGCCAAGGTCCCTGCACCCCGGGCGACTTGGCCTCTCTGATAGGGCTGGGCAAGGCCGGGGTGCAGGGCACAGCTCCAGAAAGGAGGCTCCGGGAAGGGCCCAAGACACCTTCCTGGTGGTAGGGGCCCAGGGGCGGCATCCGGAGTAGAGCCAGGCACCGGAAAGCCGCCGTGGGACAGAAGCTCGGCAGGTCACGGGCCTCCCATCCACCTCCCTTTAGCCCCTCTGGGTCACCCACATCATCCTGATACAAAAACCCAGCAGAGATTCAGCAAGAAGAGAAAACTTTCTTTTAAATTGCATTTTAGGTTATGGGGTACATGTGAAGAAGATGCAAGATTGTTGCATAGGTACACATGTGGCAGTGTGATTTGCCGCCTTCCTCCCCTTCACCTATATCTGGCATTTCTCCCCAAGCTATCTCTCCCCAACTCCCCACCACCTGCCGTCCCTCCCCTATTTTCCCCCAACAGACCCCAGTGTGTAGTGCTCCCCTCCCTGTGTCTATGTGTTCTCATTGTTAAACACCCACTAATGAGTGAAAACATGCGGCGTTTGATTTTCCACTCTTGTGTCAGTTTGCTGAGAATGATGGTTTCCAGGTTCATCCATGTCCCTACAAAGGACATGAACTCATCATT